TGGATTGCACGGAAAAATGTATCATCTATTAAAACGCATTAAAATGAGAAAGCAGGATAACGAGCAATAGGTATGACAAATGAAAATATTATGTGAGATTTGTTTAGCTTTGAATGCTTAGTAATGACAGATATAAACAATAAGATCCAAATCACAGTAGCTGCTAAAAAAGTGTCTAAAACTGTGTCTAAAAAAGGCAGTAGAGAGGAGCGTTGACAGAATACAGTGACAGTACTTGGTAGCAATGCATTCATGTAAAAAAAGTACAAAATGAAAATCCCAAGGATTTCTTTCTGCTAATTCCTCAGAGCAGATGGTGTCGGGGTACTTTCAGTTAGTCAGCCACAATAATATACAGAATCAAACACGATTACAACGATGAAATATCTTTTCACGGCACTCAAAGTCTCATGCTCTCTTCTTAAGGTTCTAATAAGATGCAAATAATCCCTTACACCATAGCAGCCATAACACTGTCACAGAGAGAGATCCATCAACACTTTTTGACAGACATAGCAAGCAGACATGGGAGTAAAACCAGAAAATGATAACTGAGTCGACACTCATCTTAATAAATCACTACATACTTTGAGATTTAACTACACAAGAAGGAAACTCTAAATATTAAGACTTTAACCCCAGAGGAAGAAAAGACTGGTGGTGAGACAGAAATAACACTAAAGAACTAAAAAGACAATAACCGCACATGTTAAACATTTCAAAAGAGCCAGCAATGAATAAATCACCCTGAACAAAAATCTAAGATTGACAGTGTGAGAAAGGCAAGATGAAGGAGATGTAGATAGGAAAGCTTGGCTCGAGGAGAAGTGAGTGGCAGTGAACTCCTGAGCCCAGACAGATAAGGAGAATTCTCTCCTAAAGCCAGGGGACGTGTGAGAGAGGGCAGGTTAGCCCGCGCTGGATGCTCATGTATTACCTTACATTTGTGGTGTGATCAGTAAACCGTGCTGTAACACAGATAGACAGTTTAGGTACTCAGAATGACCTGTTTACACCCATGGCTGTGGTTCATTGAAATGTGTTATTCATATGTTCTTATGAAAAACAATTTGCAGTCAGATGTTTACGTTTCTATCCTTCACTCTTAGTAATGTAAGTAAACAGCATATATTATCATGATTTATCATCATTTAACATACACAGTCCAAGTACAATATAACATTAAGATTATTTTTACTCTCCACTGAGACATCAACTTTTTTCATTTTTCACTATCACATCTACCTTTGTTCAAAAAAAGAAAAAAAACTGCATGTAAATTGGTAAAACGCCAAAGTTGTCATTGAATAGAGAGCAAAGCAAATTTTAGAATAAAAAAAAAAACCTCTTAGGAGGCGGAACACGCACACAGCGTACACACACTCACTCGCAAATGACTAAGTGTGTACAAACTGGACCGATGAGCATGAAATAATGCCTTTGCATAGTCATCATGATAATTATACTTCTAAGATTAGAAAAACAATGCTACACACTGAGTTTTTGTTACTCTTCCAATAAATGCTCATAATGAGTTTTCGGTGCAGTGAAACATTGACAAAATTGATTCCTTGCTGCTGGAAGGGGGCTTTAAAAATAAATGTCACTTTATATAAAGCACTGATAGGCACATGTCTGCGCATATTGGGAAAAGAGAGTGTCTCTGCTGGCATGAGAGGATTATCGTTCTCATTTTACGCTGAATGATTAGAGTCAGGACATAAAAAGGGGTTCCTATTCACCAGTAGTTGCATCTGGTCATACATAAACAGCTTTGCATGAAACTTCTGTTGTAACTCAATGCAGGTGTGTCCTAAACCTGTTACTAAGATTTAAAGACTACAACATGCACATTAACAGGTTTATCTTAAGGGTCTACTAAAAAGACTTACACATGTAAAACAATTAACTGTAGAGCAGAAATCTCCTTTCATCTATTTGATATGATCAGTTTAAATTCTATCTTGTTTGAGCATAAAGCCCAGGCTACTCTGACTGATGCAAAAATTGGAGTTAGGTATTTTCTAATACTTTCTTTGAGTGCTGTTAAGGTAGCCTCTCTGCATTCATTATTCAAATGCTTAATATAGTTTAAGACATGCAGGAAAGTCTGAAATTTAATCAGGATGATTCCAGCTGTTCAGACGAGTCACTCCCTTTGATTTGGACTTTGGGTATTGTAACTTTGCAGAACTTTTGCAACACAAAAAGTTATTAAGTGCTTTGAAGGAAAGGATTGAGATCAAATATAATGCCTTAAAATCATTGAGCAGGATATCTTTTCAGACTCAAAGCGCCATTTACTACAAAACTTAAATAATCCTTCAGTCAAATTAACTGAAATCCTCAACTTCAATGTCAAATCATGAAGAATTCCTTTTTAAATGCAAAGGTGAATGCTGCAAATAATCTTTACAACGTATGCAGATTCTCAACAGAAAAAAATGTTTGAAAGACAAAAGATTTGTCAAATGAAACAGAATGAAAGGGATCCTCTGTTGCAAAAAATATTTTTAGCAAAAAAATAACTGAGAATTTTTGCTTCTTAAATGTGCAGATTTTTCTTGAGGAACAAAATATACAAAAACACATCAAGTTTTGAACTAAGAGAAAATAAGCCATCTCTTTTCTTTGTAATGGGGGTATTTATTTTCCTGAACTTCAGAGCAACTTGCATTCTTTTTTTTTTGCCCACCGTCAGGCTGAAGCCTGGGAAACTAACCACATTCTCATTCATTTTAGTTAACTATAAAGACCCCGGCTAGTCTTGGCCTGTTAGAGAAGGTTCCTCCTGCCACTTTTCCCTTGTAGATGAGCCTGTAATAGGGCCACATAATTACCAGTGGCTCCCTCCGAGCGCTGCCCAGCTCAGACGCCCAGGGCTCTCATTACCCGCGATGCAGCCTGGGCTCTTAAATATCAAACACCTCTTTGTGCTGGAGGCCTGACTTCCCCTTAGCCAGCGGCAACCCCTGAGTGCTCATGCTGTGCTTGCATGTGTGGCATTGTCTCTGTAAGTGTGCAGCACCACACATGTGGATTTGTGTGTTAAGATAACATCAAACGGTATGCCTGATTACAAGTACCGCATGTGTATTTTTCATGTGTTATAACAAATGCTCAACTCAAAAAATGAGGTTTGTCGGTTTTGTGGGACTTGCTCCTGCATGCCACTGAAATGCTGTGTGCTTCTGAATGTCTCTCCAATATGATTATTTTTTTCTTCTACAAATGATTTGCGTTGACTTTAACAGCCTTAAGAATTGAAGAAGGCAAAGTGGATGGAGGAAACTGATACGGACAAAGTTACTCCCTGTTTTTCAAGTAGTTCCCCCTAAAAGCTTCCAGCTTAATTCAGGTTATACTTTTTTTGCCAAGAGCAGGGAAAAATTGTATAAATGAATTAAGCACTTAACAGGAACACAGACAATCAATTAGTCAACGTTTCTCCCTTCAAGTGCCAAAAAAACTGTATTCTTTTATGCATTTTTCACATTGTTGTTTGAAGGCACTTTCTTTGAAATGTTTTTCGACAACAATATGAAATATACTTTTAAAAAATGGGTCTGTGGTGAAGACATATCACTAATTATTTCATGTTTTTCAACTTAGAAAAGGCAAAACATGGTTTTCTACTTTTCTGTGTGTGTTTGGAGGGTACATCTAAATCTTGAATGCTGGTGGTTCATACAATGGCCAGTTTGAACTGCAGGAGAGAATCAGCCTCTATGATGTACGAGTAAAAACCTAAACCACTTTGAAGTTTCAAATTCTGAGTTTTTCCCTAGGCTCGGTTAAACGTAAACTTTAAGCAATTTGTTTCTCTGGAAAGTGCTGTATAGGTAAAATATTCTGCATCATATGTTCTGCGGACATGAACTCTTGAACACAGCATCTTTACTAAAGAGAAGTAACCTAATTATTTGTGTTACACCGTAGAATATCCTTATTTTTCTTTCTATTGCCAACTTGCATCAACAGAGAGATTGCATCAAAATGTATGTTATGTGTGATACCATATAAAGAAGAGCTTTGTTTTATTTTTACACTAAAAGGCTGTCATACATCTTAGAGGAGTATCAATTCATCACAGAAGAGAGAAAAAAGGATTCAGGAAGAAAGAGGGGTCAGAATCATAGAATGACTTTACACTTAAGGCATAATCTAGAGTAAACAAAAGGAATTGAGCCTTTGAGGCTTTATAGAAGTATTTGCTGAGGATATTTGCCTGGACATTTTAATATTGACTCACATTGCTTTACATTCTGCAGTAGATACTTATAACTTCTTATAGTTACAAACTGTCCCCCGAGACAAAACACAAGCAGAAAATGGGAAGTTGTGATATTTAGAAAATGTCTTACTTGTTAATAGGGCATCGCTTTTTCTTCTCTTTTTTATTTTATATTTTGTTTTTTCTAGTCATGTACCAGTTTGTATCAATTCTTTATGTCAAATTTCCTTTCCATCATCCTCTTTAATTTATTTCAAATCCATGTGCTACTTTGACTAAAACAACGTTTTCCAGTTTGCTTTTTGTTGTTATTGCACTTCTTTGCTTGGCTTGCTGACTTTGAACTTATTAACTTATTAACTCACTGAGCAGTGAAAATGGTCTGTATAAATCTGGGCATCCCAACCATCAATCTTTCCTGAACCTCAGCATCTTACCAGGTCACCGTTAACAGAACACAGCATTATCTGAATTGCACAGAAGCGGAGTGAAAAGCAGGGGATGTGTCAGAACTGCTATTCTGCGTTTGTGCTTTGAATGGCAGATCATTTTGTGGTTTGATTCAGAACGAAGCGGAATCAGAGAGGGAGAAAAATAAAATACACTTCACTGATCTGCTTACTGAAGCTCCTGGGAACAATTTATACAATTAATTGCCCTTTGAGCTGGAACAAAATGCTTGACAGCTGACTTGCAAGAACTAACTTGCAAGTGCCTCAACACAAACTGAAAAATCTTCAAGCGTAAAGAGAAGGGGCAAACAAAGTCAGGGAGATGGGTAACGCAGAATTTGGGATGGGGAAATCTTACCGATATCCTCGACAGAGAAGTGGAAAACATCTGATGTGGCATTATCTTCATTCCGCAACACATAGCAGATGTTCAGGTCATCTATATCAGCTGGAAAACAAAAATACATCTGCTTAATTTGTGCACTTATGTTGAAGAGATCAAACAGACGTCTACAAAAAACAAGCATAAAGGTCCAAGAAGACAAACAGCGTGTTGATTTTTGATCAAGGACAACCACAAAGTAGAGATGAAAAGCACACAACAAAATAAGTTTGGACTCGATTCATTACCGAATGCAAATGAGAGACAGTTTAGCTCCCAAACTGTGGCAATGCATGAAAGTGCGAATGGGTGTGTGTGTATATGTGTCACAAAGAAATGAGCTTTGAAGATTTCTTTTTTTGAGGAGTGCTTCCATCAGTTGATTGTGCAAAATAGGAAGCGGCCCTGCCTCACAGCAGGTCGGGTTACCACATTGTTTCATTTCTTATCACCACACAGCAGTGTTAAAAAATGTTCCACGAGAGGACACATTCTCAAAGTCCTGCATCTGTAACTAAGACGGTAAGGGCACAACCTTAAATGCATCATCGCTCAGGCTAGCTTAATAGAAAATGCTTAAAATCAGCTCAGAAAACCAGGTGATGGTGGATATTTTAATGACAGACAAGGTAAGAATGTTAAAAACAGGATTGAGATGGACGCTACACATCTGTTTCCCAAACTTCTCTGAATTACAGGGTTGTGTCTGCATTTTTCCCCTCCTCACCATCCTCCAAAAAACATCTATTACAGTGTAAAAAAATCATCAGCACTGTGATAGGGCTTGGCCCCTGCAAACCACCCTTTTCAATAATAAATGTCAGAGGAAGGAGGTTCATAAAAGTATAAACCCCTGACTCCTGGCTGGGACGACAGCATCTTCCTGATGATGGCTTTCTGTCATTGCTGCCTTCCCCTTTCCATACCAAGGAAGGACACGCTGATAACAAAGAAAAAATCTAAAAAATATATTATTTGAATGTGTCATCAAGTAATGTTTTAGTGTACTGCTGTCCGATAACTGTTGAGAAAAACCCTGCAAGAAGACCTCTGCGGTGCAGACTTGAACTTAAGGACCTTACAAACATGAAGTCACAATGTTCATTCAATATTTAAAGAAAATGCCTCTTGGGATGTGCCCTGGAAATAGGACGAGTAAATAAAGAGCAAAGGGTTGTCTCTTTCACCTGACTGGTTCTCCTGACGAGCCTGTTTGCTCTCCCTGACTCAATCTCTCTCGTGCCCCTTCTCTCATTCTTTATTTCTCTCAAGTCAGACGCCCCCCCCCCCACACTCCCTCCGCTCACCCCTTCCGCACTCTCTCCCACTTTGCCTGCGCTCTCTTCTCCTTCGTCTGGCCTTTGCATCTCTTCTCTTTCGCACTCGTTT